ACGGCGGCCAGCCTGGAGTCCGACCTCACGTCTGCCCCGCCCCTTGCTCTGCCAGCCCAACCATTGGCTTCTCCCTGTTGCTAGGTTATTTCTCCCTGCTGTGTGAACATCAGTCCGCCAGGGGGTAGCAGAGAGCAGCAATCGAGACCCACATGTTTTTAAGTCTTTTTTGATGCCGGTTTTTGTTACGTATAGCATGGAAGTCAGACCTCAAACTTGGCAGTTAGAATGCCCTAGGTGCTAACCCCCAGCAAACTTATTAGAGGTGTGTAATGGGCAGGTTATTTAACTTGTGCCTCGAGTTCTCTTGAAACATGGAAAGCGCCTAGCTGGCGCTTAGCACATAAAAGGCAGAAATTAGTTTTTAAACGACAGTGTTTCGGGATGCCCTCAAGGGGGCGCCACAGTCCGGTACCCAAAGTTCAATTGGCGGGGCAGGTGCTGTGACTTAGGCAGATCCGGTCTCTCCGCAGTTGACAGAATGGAAAGCATTTCTTGCAGAAGATCTCTCCTCTGAAGAGTTTCAGACTCCAGGACAGTTCGGGCCATCAGATGGGAGGGGAGGGGGTCAAGAGTTGGAGGGAAGAGTCCCTCCCCTCCATGTCCAGGCTGCTCTCACACCCTGAGAACTGGCTGGAGTGAGCGGGAGTCCTGGTCCAGTAGATCCGTGGTTCTCCAAGTGTATATATTACACACTGAACTCATGCTTCGAAAAACCATGCTGTACCCCAGGAAGATGTACAGTAATTGTACATATGTCAGAAATTATATATATAGTGTAGACCAGAGACAGGGAAATACCCGGGGTGACTCAGTGCAGCAGCAGAAGGCAACCCGGTGCCCACCCCAGTAAGCAGGAAGGATTTGGGAGAGGCTTCTCCAGGAAGATCAAACTGACAGATTATGTTGAATCTGCACATCTTGAATCTGTACGTAACAAGAGGAATTTTAAGCAGTTTGGGATTTAATTAGATATAGATGAATAGAAAATAGAAGGAAAAGGGCAAAAAGAACAATGAGATGGGACTAGCAGTTGGCGTAATAGCTATATCTCTGGACTCCCATGTAGTCAACCACAGTTCAAGTCCCAGACCCAGTGGCTTAAACTCATGCGGGAAGGTTCCACATCTTCCCCTTGGGCCCAGGCATCCTACTCCAGGGAGGTACTGGCCTGGGGCCTCTGTGCAGGCCCGGTGCTGCTGACCCTCCCGAGGCCAAAGGGGACTCCAGATGTCTGCAAGGGCTACTCAGGATAAGTCTCAGAAGTTAGATACATCCACTCAGCACTGGGGGCTGGGCCAGGGTCCCCTTGGATCCGGATTCTTCCGTGAGGGAAGCAGGGGCATTCCAGAACAGTCTGGCTCTGTGCCCTGCTCTGCACTGACAGCTGGGTAGCTCTGGGCAAGTTACACCCCTCTCTGTGTTCCCATCTCTTGTAAAATTACCTCTTATAAAATGGGGTGGTAAGGGGCTGGCAGGTGGCATGGTGGTTAAGGGCCCTGGACTCCCACATGGCCGACCTCTGTTCTAGTCCCGGACCTGGCGGCTCTCTCTCACTGTGTCCCTCTTTGGTCAAATGAAAATAAAGTCAAATAACATAATTCTTTGTTTTAAATATGGGGTGATAATAACCCTGAGCACATAAGATCATAGCAAAAATTATCATACATAAAGTGCTTAGAAGAACATCTGGCTGTCTACTACACTGTGATGTTGATATTATTAATAATCATATCATAAAGAAGCTGTAGGCCCTTCCTCCAGGGCAGCAAAGGACTGGGATGATCTCACCTTAATATTGTCTTCCTTGGGCCTCAGTTTTCCCATCTGTAAAATGAGCAAGAGGGACCAACCTGCTCAAGTCGCACCTACCATCAGGGACTCTATGGGCCGTCCAGGCTGGAGTGCAAGGCAGGCTGGGTCCAGGGCTCACCTCACAGTGTAGTTTCTGATGGTGGTGACCACTGGGTCACTCCCAACATCTCCACAGGACAGCACCTGACTTTCTTCTGTGATAGGAGGTTGCTATGGTTGGAAGGCCACCCCATCAGCCCTCACCAAGTTCATGTGTTGAGATTTGGTTGTGATGGGATTAAGAGGGTAGAAATGTAATCTGTCTACAGAAACTTTTGGCAGCCTTTAGCCTTACAGATAATAAGTACTTGCAGTTTGCCTAGTTCAAATAAAAATATGCTATAGGTGTGAAGTATATACCAGATTTCAGAGACTTACTGTGGGAAAAATCTAAATTATCTTATTAATAATACTTCTATTGGGACCAGCAGGTGGTGTAATGGTTACGTCACTGGATTCTCACGGTCAACTACAGTTTGAGTCCTAGATCCAGCAGCTTAAAACTCAAGCCAGGAACATGGGTGTAATGTGCTCAAAATTCCAAGAGGAGAATGGAGGTAAAAGGATTGTGCTATAGCCATCCAACTTGGGTGGGGGGAGGGTATGATTTCTCACTTTCTGTCTGTCTTTCTCTCTCTCTGTCTCTCTGGCAAGAACATGCTCCCAATAGCAAAAATCTCTCAAAAAATAATTTAAAAATAATAATTCTATTGATTTTATCTTGAAATATCAAATAAATATTTTAGATTTAAGAATGCACTGATTTTATGTATTTTACTTTCATTTTTTATTGTAGTTACAGAAAAATTTAAAATTATGTATGCGGCTGCATTTTATTTTTACTGGACAGCTCTGTCTTAGCATGTGCCAAAATTCAGAGGAGAAGAGATCCTTGAACCATTACCCTTACCAGTTAGAAAAAGCAAAAGCAGTAATTTGGCTATATTATTCTCTTCTAATACATGTAATGGTATTCCATTGTAACTTCTATGTTGAGAGAGACCTAATCCAACACTTCCTTGTCCTTTTTCCTCCAGTAGGAAATCAGCAGAGGCCACCAGGATGATGTCTGATCATCCCCCACTCCCGTCACAGCTGACCCATGCTCTACTTTTGTGTCCATTCCCCTCAGTAATGGACACTTGAATAACATGCCAATGAACTAATCACATGGTTAGCCAACAAGGAACTAGAGCCTTCAAAGTTTCCCTCTAAGACCTCTCTTCAGTAGAGCATAGATTCAAAGGAGCCAATGTTTACTTACAACTTTCAGAAACACCTGGGTGATGGTTAATGTTAGCTGTCAGCGTGACTGGATTAAGGGATACCTAGGTACCTGGTAAGACATCATTTCTGGGTTGTCTATAAGGATGTCGTGGAGGAGATTGGCATGAGAGTCAGTTCACTTAGTAGGGAACATCCTCTTATCCATGTGTGAGGGCTCCACCCAATCAGGTGGGATTTCAGATGGAGTGAAAAGATGGAAGAAAATCAAATTCTTTTTCTCTCTTCCAGAACTGGAACACCCTTCTGTTCTTGAATATAAGAACTCCAAGTGCCCCATCCTTTGGACTCTAGGAAAAGTACCAGAAAACCCTCAAGTTCTCAAGCCCTCGGCCCTGGACTGAGAGTTACACCATGTACTTCACTGGTTCTGAGGCTTTCAGATGGGCTGCACCATGCTGCAGAGCTTCCTGGTTATCCAGTTTACAGATGGACTATTGTGGGACTTCTGAGTTCCATAATCTCATGAGCAATTCCCCTAGTAAATCACCTCATATGTACATACCACACATACACACACACACACATTTGAAGTGTATAATTTCAGGTTTACAAAATATTTAAAGAATCAAAAAATCATAATTCTATGTACTTCACCCATGTTCCCCAATTATTAACATTTTTTCACATTTTTTTAGCCACATATCTGTCTCTCTATCATGAATCCAACTTATTTTTGAATGCTTCTATGTTTGAATGTGTCTCCCGAAATTCATGTATGGAAATCTGGTGAGCCACTGTAAAGATGTTGAGGAAGACTTAATCCAATTTGGTGTTGAAAAGTGAGGCCTTTGGGAAGTGATTAGGTATCATGGTGGGATCCCATAATTAGACATTTGTGGGCTTTAAGGGGACACAGACACAGGTAGACTCTCATTCCATCTTGCCATGTGATGCCCTGTACAGCCTCAGACTGCCCCCAGCAAGAAAGCCTTCACGAGATGCAATCTGTGGACCTTGGCCCTCCAAACAGTGAGACAAATACTATTCTTTTTAAATTTCCTAGATTCCAGTGTCTCTTGTTATTCACAACACAAAGAACTAAAAGAGATGCATTTAAAAGTAGGTTACTGTCATCAATACACTTCACCCAAAATTATTCAAAATGCACTATTGACTAAAGTATGTATTTGTTTATGTTAAAGTAAAATTTACATAGTGAAATGCTCAGATCTTTTTTTTTTGGAGAGATTTTCACTGTAGGGCGCGTGCGCTCGCCAGACAGACAGAGAGAGACATAGAGACAGAAAGCGAGAAATCACCCCCCAGGGGGGATGGTCACGCCGCAATCCCTTCTCCTCCATTCTCCTCTCGGGATCTTGGGCACGCACGCACACGCGCCCGGCGTGAGTTTTAAGCCACCGGGTCCGGGACACGAACCGCGGTCGACTACGTAGGAGTCCAGCGACATAGCCATTACGCTAACTGCTGGTTTCCCGATGCTCAGATCTTTCACATACTACTTAAGGAGTTCTAACAGACATATAAACCTTTATGAAAATATAGAATATTTTTCATCATCTAGATAATTCCCTAAAGTCTCTACCTATTCATCTCTACGCTATCTGGGAAAACTGAGAGCTGAGGCCCTGTTCCTTGAGCCTACAGAGGGTGCTCACAGCACAGATGGGAGTGAGGCCAGGCCTTCCTGGCCTGCCTACCAGGGAAGGTTTAGGCCTCAGCCAGCTGCTGCAACAACAAGAGAGTCCCATAGAGGGCCGACAAGGGCACCTTGGCTTCTAGATCCCAGGTAGACTTGGGGTTATTCATCTCCATCTTCAGGCCACACTCCTCCAACAGGCCATAGGTGATGACCAGCCCCTCACCCTGCAGTGGACTGAGGAGCTCGGGTTTGAGGGTGAAAGGAAGGAACCAGGGATATTTGAAGTTGGGTTCCAGGATGCTTCTTACCTAAAAGAAGATTACAAGACAGTTCAGAACAGTCATTGCAATCAGGAAGAGAAATATTCTATCTCAAGGGTCAGAGGTTCTAATGATAATGGAAGGGGTGAGTGATTTGGACTAAGGGGAACAGGAATCATATCCTAATCACATCATATGATCAGTATGATCAAGCAATTGGAAATTATGGAGCATTGGTTCTTTTGCTTTGAATGGTAACAATAAAATTTACCCTTCAGAACAGTGGTAAATTGTTGGGCTTCTGTATGTATATGTCTATATAAACATATGTACTTATAGATACATAAATGTGGAGAAAGAGAGAGCAATTTGCAAATAGATACTATGAATTAAAGTAGGAATATTATTCTCTGAGATTTGGGGTCTGATGGGACTCACTTCCAGGGAAACTGAGACCCCTGAGGTAAATTTATAGCCAATAGGCCTGCTCTATAGAGGAAGGTTGTAGCTGGACATTTCCAATGGCCACACTGGGATCAGACCTTCCCTCTCAGGGCAAGTCTGTGTCATTTTCCACTCAGAATCATTTTTATACCCAGTTCCCTCAGCCTCTTCCCTGGACTTCTGGTCCCTGGGGATTTCTCACCAACTCCTGCTGGTGGAGCAGGATCCTCTTCTTCATGGACTGGGCCAGCAGGTCAAGCTGAGTGTCACTCAGTACTGGGGGGAGGGAAGACAACAGGAAATAAAGTGATGAAGAACCCAGGCTTTCTTCTCCCATTAATCAGGAGAGCCTCTGAGAGGAGAGCTCTGAGGCAGAACAAACCCTAGTACACCTGAAGCCCGAGCTCCCTTCCCTGGAAAGTCCCCCTTCTGCTCTTAGAATGTTCCCAGGATGATAAATAACATGGTCTAGGAGATGAGACCTGAGGTTAGCAACTTTCTAGGCCTCAGGTTGGTCTGGAAGACTTATATGGTTGTGTGGAGACTTATCACAGATAGCCCTCCTGACCCTGGTGAGCGTGTGATGTGAGGATGATTGCAACATTTGAAGGACTTTGGAGAGGTGACATCAAATGCAGTCTTTGCAGAGGATCTGGGCAACAACCTTGTGACTCTCACACTCTTCACCAAATCACTCTTACCCAGTATGGCTTGAAGGAGATAAAGAATGGTATCTTTGTACACCCATTCCCATCTTGAGTCTTTTCGTATTTCATTTAGGATTCTGCCAGCAGGGCCATCCAAACTCTCTGAGCTTTCCAGTTCCAGCTGTAGGTGACAAGAATGATTAGTGATAACAGCATCATAATGTAACGTGCCTGTGTCTTCTGTGTTTATAGGTGGCCAACCATTGGGGTTGAGGTAAGTGCTCTCTGCCTCCCCCAGGGAATTGCAAACACCCTCTAGAATGTGGGGATTGAACTCCCTGGCCCTGGTCACTGTGCCTGGGGCCAGAATTCCCAGTGTCTGACATCCTCCTCATTCCTTTGAAATCTTGCTTATTCTGCCTCCCCCATAAATCTTGGAAGCCATTTTTACTAGACATTCCCCTTTACGGGGCTGGCAGGTGGCACGGAAGTTAAGGCACTGGACTCCCATATGGTTTAATGTGGTTCAAGTCCTGGACCTAGTGACTTACTTTCTGTCTCTCTCTGCTCAAATTGAATGATGATGATGATGATGGTAAATGAAATTAAATAAATGATTCTTAAAAAAAAAAAAAGACTTTCTTCTTTACATCTTTGATCACCACTGTGCAGCCCACTTACCATGGCCATCAGGCGGTACAGAGCCTCTCTGTTCTCAAGCATATCCAAGATATTATAGAATAGGACATCTTGAACAACTTTTGAAAACTGGGCCAGGACGTCCATGTTTTGGGAAACCTCCCTTTGCAGTTGTTTGAAATCTGACCTCAGGTATCAACACCGATCAGAAAATGAGAACAACGTCTGATTAGAACATCCTGGAGATGATAAGTCCCTCACCAGCCCAGCACCTCATATCTTTAAGCTGCTGACCAAGGACATCCCTGGTAATGGCATAGTTAAACCCTGGGGACAAGTTGCAGAGATGGCAGTCCTGAAAAGAGTTGTTGCATGTGGGAGAAAATGACTAAGTAGTTATTTCTGGGACATGTGAGGAATACTGTGAAATCTGGTGTTGCATTCCAGAGATGAAAATTCAGATGCCCTAGGATTAATTTCCATATGTCTTGAATGATTGAATGAGGATATTATGAGGAATAAATGAGTTTATGGATATCAGGCACTTGGGACGTATGGGCTCTCCTTACTATCATCCACTTGTGCCTGCAGGTGCCTAGGGTGATCTGCCGAGAGTGCAAGATCACTAGATAGGCAGTTCCTGAGAGGCCAGCATTTCTGTTTGGTTCAGTGCTGCATTGTCGGTGTGCAGGATAACTCCTGCTGCCCAGGAGATCCTCAGTGTTTTATGCATGCTTGAATGAATCAAGTAGGTGGCGCTGAACAAAGTGTAAATTTGTAAGTACGTATTAGTTTTCTGACTTGCTTAAAGCCACTGATATGGGAGCTCAACATAGCAGTTTCCCATCCAGAAGCCCAGGATTCTTCTTAACAAACACTCACCTTGCCAAAAGGGCTCTTCTATTCTTCCTAGAAAGAGAATCACAAATGACCATCTCCCCAGATTTGTGTCTGAGATACTTTAGAGGGTTCTGACTTCCTGCTACATCCTCCTTCTTGCTTAAGCTCTTCCTGCCCCCCATGTCAGTTCATCCCTCAGCCTCTTTGACCTCCTAGACCCTTCCCAATCCACAACATCCAGCAGTCACTTCTAAGACTGTGGTGGAAAAAAACAGGGGCAATTTGTCCTGTTTGCTCAATGTGTACAAGATGGAATCCCATTCCCTCCTCCACCAAACTCATACTCACCTATCGGGCAGATGTAACTGCTCAGGTAGATGGAATCACTCCAGCCGCTGTAATCTTTCATATAACCCAGAAAAAGAAATTGAAATCCCCACTAAATAATTCATCTAAAAGACACAGTTTCTCCCTTGACCCCCTCCTCTCCATCTACCCTGACCCTTTGCCCAGGGCCCCAGATCCCAAGGCCTTGGTACTGGCAGCAAAGGCAATCAAGTAGGTTTTCGTTTTGGCAGAGTGGTCTGAGGAGAGATCCAATTCTTCTTTCCTGGCTTCATAATCACCCACTCACGTATTTCCGTCCCCATCCGAGTTAGACCTGTAAAGAGTGAGAAGTGTGGACTTACTAAGAGTTAGCCTCCTTCCCATCTTCCTCTCTTGGTCTCACCTTCCTAACTACTCCCTTCTTCCCCTGACTTCTCACCTGGTACCACCAGTGCAGCTGAGACATATCATCAGCCCCATGAAACCCCAGTAGACTCTCCTTCCCCCACAAACCCACAGCAGCTCCGGTTTTCAAAGGAGAGAGCTCATGTTCCCTGTGGCCTCATGGACCGTAGATGGTCAAAGGCTGGGGAGAATGGCAGGCCATGGAGGAACCTGGGAGGGGAAGGTTTTCCTAGGAGTCCACTGAGGGTGATCCCCCAGTGGGGCTCTTACAAGCATTTAAATAGGGTGAGGACTCTGTAGGGCCAAGGCAGAGGCAGAGAAACTGCCCATTTCTGGAACTCACGTTCAAAGGTTTTCTCCTTAGCATCAGCTGGGATGAGCTGAACGACTGAACAGAAACAAAAGCACAGTCAGAGCTGAGGTTATTTCTGCCCAAGTCTTCTCCAAGCCCCACACCTGGAACTTTGGGGCCACCAGTATCATAACCATCTGGGTTGCTGGTTAAAACTATCACTGGCCTAGAGTCTGTCATGAGAGTTGAGTTCTAGTGCTTTCAGAGATAAGAGCAATAAAGATGTTCTGCTGAGCATTTATCCTGGTAGAGCCCCTGTCTCCCTCTCTCTGTCTCTCTGTCTCTTTACATTTTTAAAATTTTTCTTTTTTAATAAGTTTGTCAGGTAAAGTTTTTGGGGGGGGCTCTGAAATCCTCCTTTATCTTGGTAATAATCCCTTCCCCTTCCCCCTCCCATCTAGGCAAAAAGAGAAGGCAGACCAGAAGAACACTGAGTCCATCATGAGAGCTGAGATCTAGTGCTTTCCCACAGAGGCCCGCAAGCACATCACCCAGTTTCTTTTCTTTCTTTCTTTTTATTTTTAATGAACAAATAAGGGGACCAGCATTTGGCATAATGGGTATGTCACTGGACTCCCATTTAGTCAACCATGGTTCAAGTCCCAGACAGGGTGGCTTAAACACCCCGGGTGCATATGCATGTATGTCCAAGATCCAGAGAGGAGAATGGAGGAGAAAGGATTGCAACGTGGCTGTCACCCCTGGGGGGTGATTTCTCGCTTTCTGTCTCTCTGCCTCTCTCTGTCTTTTTGGTGAGCACACACATCCTATAGCAAAAGCCTGTCCAAATAAATAAATAGTAACAAATAAGTAATGTGTTTGTTTGCTCGCTTTATCTATTTTTCTCTTTTTTCTTTCTTGCTTTCTGTTTTCTTATCCTTTTTCTTTTACTTCATCACTTTGCTGCTCAGCCTCTACCTACTGAGTGTCTAGACAAGTCTCAGTGAAAAGTTGCCAAAATCCGAACACTATTTGGGTCCTCATATTCCTCAACTCCCACTGAATCTGTGACACAAAGGGAGAAACACACAACGCCAAGGAGTTTGCAGACCACATCCTCCTGTGTGCCTCTGATTGCTCAGACTAATCTTCTAGAAATTGGGAAGAAATGAACAATCCATCAGATAACTAGAAATCACCACAGAGACACAAGAAATATGTGAAACCAAGAAAATACCTCACTCCCAAGAGAAAAGGATAACTCCTCTTCATCCACAGACAGTACAATGGAACTCATTGAAGTGTCTGATAAAGAATTTAGAGTATTCATAGTAATAAAACTAATAGAGATGGAAGAGAAGAGAGACAATGAATACCAGAAGAAAAAAGCCAATGAGTTCCAGGAGATGAGGAAGTTCTTGCAAGAACTGAAAGAGGATATACACACCACAAAAAAGAAATGGAACTGCTGGAGATGAAGGCTATAATACAGGAAGTCAAAACTTCCTTTGAAAGTATTAAAAGCAGACTAGATCATACAGAAAATCGAATCTCAGATGTAGAAGACAAAATTGCTGGACTGGTAAAATCCACGATGAAGACTGAGAAAATAGCCCCCAAAATGAGAATAATATACGAGAAATACTAGATACCATTAAACGTCCAAACATCCAGATAATCATTATCTCAGAAGGTGAAGAGACTAATAAAGAGCATTGACAATCTGTTCTATGAAATCCTAGAGATCCAGACTCAAGAAATACAAAGGACCCCAAATAGGATCAACCCAACAAGATCTTCTCCAAGACACATTATAGTCAGAATGACCAAAACCACAGACAAATACAAAATACTTGGACTGGCAAGAGAGAAACGTCAAGTTACCTACAAAGGATATCCCATCAGGCTAACAGCAGACCTCTCATGGAAAACAATGCAAGCAAGGAAAGAATGGGTAAATATATTCAAATTGTTGAGTAAAAACCAATTTCAACCAAGAATACTATATCTGGCAAAATTATCCTTCACATGGAAAGAGAAGACAAGAACATTCTCAGATAAACAAAACTTAAAAGAATTTACCAATACCAGACCAGCTCTTCACTCCCAAGAAATTCTCAAGGGGATGCTATCCCAAGAAAACTAAATACAGACACACAGAAATAAGAGTTCTAAAACAGCTAAGAAAATGGCTACCATAATGGTAGGGACACGTCTAGAGTTGAATGTTATCTTCCAGAGTTTAAAGGGGAAAATCGGACCACAATAAAAGATAAAATATGTGAGTTTAAACTGATGAAATAAGATTTTACAACTTTTGACTAAAACATTACTGACCTTCTATGCTTTACTTTCCAGTGTTATGGAGTTTTGTCTTCTCTGAACTTGTGAACAGGTCTATGTACCTGTTATTCAAACAGAATCCTAACCTGTTTGCTGGTGTTGAGTATTAAGCAAAGTTCTCTTAGCATTTTTTAATTTTGATTTATTAAAGCTAAAACTGCCTTTCTTGAAATTAAACAGTGTATTTCAAAAATAGCTATTCAGTAACCATGGTAAACTATATAGCCTCAGCTATGTACTATTTTATAGTATATTCATTCTATCCTTAGAGTTTCATGCCTAATTTCAGCTTTTGTTCACAGATATGTATATATCAGCTGAACTTACTATTGAAAGTATTTAGATTTATTTGAATATTTTGTGAATCAATACAATATGGGAAAGAATAAAGGAATGGAAAGCAGTTGGAGAAACCAGAAACGGTGGGAATAGGATGGGAAATGACAGAGGGTGAGAAATGGGGATATATATATATATATATATATGAAACAAGAAATGGAAAATTATTTGTTGATGATAACATGTATGATTAAGCCACTTTTCAGTGTATTCTGGCTAGAAAATTGCCTTTTGTATGCTGTGGTGATGTTCAGTGAAAGTATGTAAAATAATTCATTTTTAAAAATTTAAAAATAAAAAAAAAACTATCACTGGCCTAATGTCATAACTTCCTGTAGTGAATGTGTACAGTTCATGTTGCCTCAGCATCCATTTTTAAATGGAAACCAGAAGCAGGGCTCAGTTGCTCTTGACATAGTTTCCAAAACTATACCCAATGCAAAAGGCTCAGCAGTGGACCAAAGATAAGAACTGAGAGTTCTCTCCTGCACAGCAGACTGAACTTCCGGCTTTCCCATTACTTTATACTAACCATTCAGGCGTTTGCTGTGAACTCAGTGACCTGCACTCTATTCTCCAATATAAACTGCTAGTGGTCACACCTTCAGCTATCTCCCTGCCTACACTCCTGAACTCACAAGCATGCTGTGTAACACCTTCCACACTTGCGTCCAGGTTTTTAAGTCCTAAAATAAAATTTAAACGTTCACAGTTGTGGCTGTGTCATTAATGCCCTGCCTGCAACCTCCAACCCTGACTATGAGACTCAGGCAGGGTAATACCTCCGTGGTGTACTTCCGTCTGGGCCTCTAGGGCTGCCGGAAACAAGAGTACCAGCAGAGCAGGCAGAGAAACACCAAGAGTTTCATAAAAGCACATGTCAGTCACTCTTTAAAGGATGCCCTAGAACTTGCATACCTTGGAAATAGGTACCCTGGGAAATCATTGTGTCCTCTAATATGCTAGAATTTCCTTCATAAAGAAAAGAGAACAGGCCTCTTCTCTTGTCCTGCAGGATTGTCATTGTCATCCTTTTGTCTCCTGTCTAGCCCTTATCAACTTCCAAGTTGGCGTTCTCCCTGGGTGATGATCCTAGCCTGACATAAAGAGCAAAAGAGCCCATGAGGAAGACAAAAAGGTTTTCTAAATGTAGGAAAGTGTGAACTGAATGAAATTGGAAGAAAAGCTAACCTCACAGTGGTTCTTGCAAGTCACCTCCTAATCACTAGGGAGTGGGTGGGGTGGGGCATCTCTGTTTGCACAACTCAGGCCCTTGACTTAGATGGACAACTAATCCTGACAAAACAGAAAGAGCAAATATTTCATAGTTGGCCATAACCCTCACTGATAAGTTCAGAGAAAAGCAGAATTCCAAGAAGGCTCAGCCACATCTCACTCTGGCTGATGTGAGGAATGGAGGTGAATATCTGGTAATGCAAGAAGCAATGTACCCCCACCCTCTCACCTGGTTCCTTCCCCTGGCCTGAAGTAAGCTCTGTTCCCTGACACCATATAAAGTCCTTCACCCAGAATCCACCTACAGTTATCACCACTCCCGCTCACTTTCCCTGCACAGCCAACTTCCTGAAAAAGCCATCCACGCTCTGTATCCTCACTCGCTCCCCTGGCATTCACACCTCAGCCACTCCACTGAGGGCTGTGCTCCCCTGAGTTCACCTGGCTCAGTCACCAATGAACGTGAACCTGATTTTCTCTGGATTCTACAACATTGTGCTCTATGAGGTCTCCTTTTATTGGTTCATTTCTTTTTACTTTTTGAAGTTCTTTGGATTTTTATAATGATGATGATGGTATTTGTTGAAAATGAGGCTCCTTTTCTTTCTCTCCCTAAACTAAAAGCATTTTGTGATTCACCTTGACCTTCAATAGCAATGTCATCTCCTGGTGCTCTCAGTAGGAGTTTCTGACCTCTATCTACAGTGTGAATTTCATCTTTGCTCCTACTCATTAGAGAGCTGCTTGGGCACAGCTGATCGTTCTCTGTGTGCAAATGACACAGATAGTCTGTCCACGTGGAGTCTAAACCTAGAGTTGTAAGTTGGGGGTCTGTGTATTCTGAGACTAGTGAAGGAGAGAGAGAAGTAGATACAATTCTGTATTGTGTTCTTAGGGTATTATGTCTGCAATTCTGCTTGTGATGGTGCCATTGTGACCTTGTGGGGCTTTAATGTAGGATTAAGGGTAATCTGGCAAGGGCTGCATGGCTTCCTCAGGTGAGCTGCTGAGAGTCACAAGACCTTTCTTTCATGTCTAGAGATAGTTGGGATTAGGGTTAGACTTCGCTCAGTGCTGACTTTAAAATAAGTTGGGTCCTTTTCCATGTGGGAAACTGTCTCTGTGCCCTGCCAGTAGCAACCAGTAGTTTCAACCGGGCCATGGCTAGGACTCGGGGAGCGCAGGCAGGGAAAGATGGCCACTAGCACGATGCATGTGCTCCAAACACTGAGAAAAGTTGTCATCCATTTATCTGGACAGACAAACCAGCAAAGGCTGCCTATCAATGGTCTTTCTCCTCTTCTTTCTCTTCTCAGGAGAAGCAGACACCCCCCTCCCACTCCCTACCTGCTTCAGCCTCTGCTCACTCCCACCTTTCTCCCTGATGATCAGCTTCATCCTGTTATAGGCCATTATCATGCCCTGTGGGAGAGTTGTCTTTTCTTCCGTTGCTTTGAAACCCTCTCCTTGACCTTGACCCTGGGAGAGAAATCAAGTATTGCAATATTAACTGCATATAATTTTAAAATAAATCTAGAAAGTTCATGAAAAAGAAAAAGAAAAAGAAAAAAACAGCCATTTCCTGCTCTCACAATCCCTATTCCAGATCTTGATTTCCAGGTACTGCTCTTTTCCCCCTTGTTTCATTCAGCATTTATCTTCCCATTTCTCAATGTTTATCTATTGCAATGTTTTTATTTTTTCCCCAGATTCAGTATACAGAATACCTTGGCATAGGAGAAAGGGAAAATAATAACCTCAGCCCTTCAGACTCCCCAGAAACAGGGGAGTGCTTGAGAAATGAGGATGGGTTGGCTGTGCTCTTGATGTGCTCATTTCTTACCTCGACATAAGTATTCCAAGGGATGGACAGCTTTCCCCCTAATTTCACACTGCTGTTCTCATGTAGCACAGCAGGGTTGATCAGTTCAATGGTCTCTGTCACCACATATAGGTCATCCCCTCTACTCCGGTAGTACGTCAAGAATGATGGCTCTGGGTCCAACAGTTTACTAGGGGCATAAGTGAGGAGGACAAAGGTCAGAGTGAGAAAGGGGTGCTTTTTCAGTTTACTTTGGGCTACTCTTTTGCTCATGACCTGGAAGGTTACAATGCCTCTGGACCTTGACAGGTGAGTCATCAATGAGTGGGGACACACTGGATCATAAATTTGAGGGGCCCAGAGATACAGGCGAGCCCCACTTTCTAGTGTAGTATGAGAGTAGGCGCCATATTGTTAAGGGCATCTGCATTTTCCTAAATTATATTGATCCACATTTTTAAAATTTTTTGAGTTATTTTATTTCAACTTTATTTGTTTTTTAACTTGGCAAGAGAGGGACAAAGTGAGAGAGAAAGAGCAGGAAAGTGAGAAAGCAAGCCGCCAGGTCCAGAACTCAAACCACAGTAGGCCATGTGAGAATCCAGCACACTTAACTGCCACAACACCTGCCAGCCCCTATATTGATCTTTTTAAGGTACAAGCTATAGATTTCCAACAGTAGGGTCTTTTAGAAAAAAAAAAAAAAAAGCTAGAAGTAGACAGGTCCAGACTGAGAACATCTTTAGAAAGTCCTGTTGTCAAAGTAGGATTTCCACACTGAATCATCTGGAGACAGAACTGGGGTGGGATGTGGAATAGAAAGATCAAGTTTGACAAGCCAGTGAGGATTCTGGATTAGTTTCATGGCTAGCAGAGGTAGGTGAGTCTTCATGGATTGACTATCCCAGTGGATAGATTGATACATACAGGTCTTGGGAAGAAGTGAGAGATGTGAATTACTAAGATGTATTTCATCTCCATGTCAGTTCTGACACTGAACCTTGGTTCCTCCAGTGAAGTTTGTTTCTTAGGTAATAAGCATGTGGAACACTGAGGGATCCTTAATTTTCCCTTCAGGGAAGGAGGTTGCAAAGCACTCAATATTAGATTTTTTCATTGATGCTGAAATGAAATTCAAGCTCCTCATTGTGTCTGGAGGTGCTATATCATCTGACATTTAGTTATCTCTATCCTGATTGGCAAAGCTTCTGGTTGCTCACCTCATCCCACATCCTTAAAACACCATGTTCTTTCTTATCCCCAAAGGCTTTAAATTCCTTCTTATGGCATTGTTCATGTCTCAGCTCAACTTCTGAATTCACACAGAGACTTGAGTAGAAGAGATTTATTTCCAACTAGTCTTTCTACCTCATTTTGTTTATTAGCTTCAGAGCATACCTCAAATCATTTGGAGGTTAAAAAAAAAAAAATTGCAAGCTCTGCATTCCACTTAATTAAAAGTACCTCACTTACTTTCTTCCCCTTACTTAAGAGATGTACCTCAGGCTTACTTATTCCTCTTAGTGATAGAAAATAAAATTACTTGTCCAATTGTAGCCCCTTTAACTTCTAAGAATGTCTCTAGGAGAAAAATAAAACTTTTGTATTTTTCCCCTGCTGCTTCAGAAATCTGGAAGCTCTTTAGCACTATAAATTATCTCAAATGTTAGTTCTAACAGGAGTCTTGCATGAAACCAGAAAAACATAAGGGGCAAAGTAACCACTAATTTCTAAATATTACCTTATTTTAACTCATTATTTAAATAGTTATTTGCCTTGGTAGGAATATTATTTAGGTTCACTTATGTTTCTAAAATGCATGAAGACTTATGAGTATTTTGGTTAAGCCCTTAATCAATCTTTGGGTATCCACCTTCTTTACATGCATGGAGACAAATTAAATCCCAAGACATCAGCAACAGGACAGAATTAGACATATTTGGATTCAATCCTTCATAAAAAGTCCAATTAGCCACTATCCATTGACAAAATGTCCCTGTGAAAATCCCAGGACCCACAGGTGAGGCTAACACACTCCTTAGTCAAAAAAAAAAGGGGGGGGGGGCAAGAAAAGACAGAGAAAGAAAAGAAAGGCACATTAGAAGAGTAAGAGGAATAGCTTCATTTTGACAGCATCACCCTCCCCCCAGGCAAGGGCAGGGTTCTCCTGCACCCACAATTTATCCACTAGAGAAGAAAGAATGTGAGAGAGATATCCAGCTTCAGCTGCATTCTGGGCTCATCCTGGGAAACCCCCTTCAATCTCACCTCACAAAGAATACTAAAGAAATCGGCAAGATCAGACCACTTGAGGTCAGCCAGAAACAGAACAGCCAGGGTTTGCTGTAAGCAGTATGTGGACCTTTGCAATGACACTGTGCTTTACTGGTGGTGATGCCCAATCTGCGAAACCAATCAGCAGTTTGCCTGCAGAGCTGAGCCAGTGGATGTATATGGCTAGGAGGTACAGCAGACAATACTATATTTAGCTAGTGGCTCAGTCTGACTGTGAAGTCCAGCCTGGTTATGGAGCCCAGCCTCATAGGCCAACCTAGAACCCTGTCCAAGTAGGGAGGTTAGCCAGCAACCACACCTAATAACAGAGCATAGCCTCTGGCCCCAACCCTTCCCAGACTCAGAACCCAACCTGACTCTCCCTAAGCAGAAAGGCCAGCCTGCAAACCAACCTAACCTATAGAGTACAGCTTCTTGTCTGACCTGATTAGGAAGATCAAACTGCAAACCTTTCAAAATCCAGAGCCCAGTCCCAGGCTCTGGCTGTGTATAAAGTCAAATTGGTGACTACCTAGTTCTAGAGAATCACCTCTGGCCTGATCAACAACCTAGTCCAGCCTTGGAGCTCAGTCTCCAATCCCACTATTATCATGATGCAAATTGGCCACGGAGCAAAGTCAGTGACCCTCATCCATGTTATAATCCCAGGTAGTGACCCAGCTCAATCATAGGAGCCCAGCATGTAGTCCCATGCAACTGCAAAGCACAGCCTGAAACCTTCTCTGACTGCATAACCTGGTCTGTGGTCCCACCTGAACACTGAGTTCAAAACACCCAGCTAGGGAGCAATACATGGGCCCTCGCAAAACCAGGGGCAATTTCAGAGCCCAATCTGTGGCCCCACTTGATTACAGAGTCCAAACAACAGTACCATACACAAGGGAGAACAGCCTGTAACCACACCTGACCAGAGGTGATTGTGGAGCCCAGCCAGTGGTCCTGTCTGACTACAAAGCCCAGCCAAAATTTCTATCCTACCAGTGAACCCAACCAGTATCCCTGCATGAATATGTAGCTCAGCCAATAGTTCTGACTCACTATGATTCCAGTGTCAAAGAGCTCAGCTAGCAATTTCATTCAACCTTAGAGCATTGACAATGATCCCACCATTGAAAAAACATGACAGCATGCCCTTAAATGCCACCAGTAAGCCAGTTCAGAATTCAGGTTAGGCTGTATAATGGCAATCTATTCCTGCTAAAGTAAGCCTATAAAGGCTGAGAAAAGTGGCCACTGCTTCAAATGCACAGTTATCAACACAAGGATACAAGGATCATGAAATATTGGGAAAACATGATACTGTCAAAGGAAAACAATAGAACTGCAGTAATTGACCCTACAAAATTGAAAATCTATTAAACGATTCACTAAGCATTCAGAATAATCCTCTTAAGGAAATCCAGCGAACTACAGGGAAACATTAATAGATAACTAAAAAATTTGCACAAATAATACACAAAGAAAATGAGAAAAGTTTAATGAAGAAATAGAACTAATATTTTACAAAGACAGAAATCAATAGATGAGGAATATAGTTACTGAACTGAAAATTTTATGCTTCTCTAACAGACTGTGGCTCTTTTATCTTGCTACTTCTTACCTTTCCCTCCCTCCCCATAAGACAAACTAATCACGAGCCATCTCTATCTGAGTTCTGAGTGGCCCCTTTTGCACAGCACTCTTGCATGCCATGTAGTTTTCATTTTTTGCTTAAAAAAAATGTTTTTTTAGGGACCAGCAGTTAGCATAATGGCTATGTCGCTGAACTCCCATGTAGTCAACTGCGATTTGAGTCCTGGACCTGGTGGCTTAAACTCACACCGAGCGCATGTGTGTGCATGCCCAAGATCCCGAGAGGAAAATGGAGGAGAAGGGATTGTAGCGTGGCCATCCCCCTGGGGGGTGATTTCTCACTTTCTATCTCTCTGTCTTCCTGGTGAGTGCAAGTGACCTATAGCAAAAAAAAAAAAATCTCCAAAAAAATTAATAAATTATAAATGTATTTTTATAGTTTTTGTCTTGTTTTTTTCTCTTTTTTGTTTTTTTTTCTTTTCCTTTTTCTTCTTTCTTTCTCTTTCTCTCTCTCTTTCTCTCTCTCTCTCTTTGTCTCTCTCTGGTCAAATTTAAATAAATAAATATTTTTAAAAATATAATTGAAGACAAAAATAAATAGAAAAATATTTTATGTTCATGGATTGGAAGAACTAATATTAAAAGTCATTATACTCAAAGTAATATATCTGTTCAATGTAATCTCTCTCAAAATTCCAATAGCAGGGACCAGCAGATAGCATAATGGCTATGTTTCTGGACTCCCATGTATTTGACCGTGGTTCAAGTCCCAGACCCATTGGCTTAAACTCATGCTGGGTGCCTGTGCATGCATGCCCAAGATGCCAAGAGGAGAATGGAGGAGAAGGGATTGCGGTGTGGCCATCCCCCCTGGGAGGGGGTGATTTCTCTCTTTCTGTCTCTCTGTTTTTCTGGTGAGTACACGTGCCGTATAGCAAAAACATCTCAAAGAAAAAAAAATTCCAATGGCATTTTTTACAGAGATAGGAAAGAAATCTCAAAATACTACAAAACCACAAAAGCTCCTAAAGAGTTAAAGCAATATGAAGGAAAAAGAATAAATCTGGAAGCATCACATTTCCTGATTTTTTTTTTAACACTTCCTGATTTTAAAGTATGTTACAGGGACCAGCAGAGAGCATAGCAGTTATATTGCTGAAATCCCACATGGCCAATCATGGTTTGAAACCCAGACCCAGTGGCTTCAGAATCACATGTACGTGTCATGCATGCTCAAGCTCCCAGGAGAGAAATGGAGGAGAAAGAATTGTGGTGTGGCCATACGTGCGGAAGGTGATTTGTCCCTTTCCATCTCACTCTCTG